ATTATATCATCAAGAATATATTATAGTTATATTATCAAACCATAAAAAGATATTGAATCTATATTGTAAAAAAAAAAAATATTTATATAATTTTACAACAATTCTACTACACTATTTAACAGTATTCCTTTTTATTATATAAGAAAATAATAATTAAATATTATACGGTGAACAACAATAAGTAAAAAAGTTACTTTCTCTTATATCAAGGGATAAATTTATATGCTAAAATTAAATTTTTATTAGTATAAATGTTTTAGTGAGATAATATATGAATTATTTACAAGTTAGCCCTAACATTCTCATATTTAATGTTCTTGTTTAAAAACAACGTTGGTTAAAAGATGTGGAAAAAAACTTATAATAACCCTATTGTTTTTTAGACTTAAAAGAGATAGAAAATAGATAATAACCCTATTATTTTTTAGACTTAAACGGACAAGACTGTGAAAATAACTCATTTAATATCTTTGTCACATGCATCGCGGGGTACGTACTAGTATACATATAAATCATAGTAGACTATTATACATCATAAAAATAAAATATAAGATAAAAGTTAATATTTTTATTCAAAATTATATTTAATTTTATACTAATAGATGTTCTTTCATTGCTTTAATTAATACATTTTATCATTATTATCATGTGAACCACGAGTTGCTAGTCTTACTAGAGAAAAGTAATATTATTTGTTCTCATTTATTAATTTCTATATTGTTTTATAATATTTTAAAACTTAATACCTTTTTATTTGCACAATCAATGCCTTCTAATAATGGTATAAAAAAAAGACCCTCGACCAGCTGAAATTCGGCCTGATCTGAACTCCTTGCTAGTAGAACGTCTTCTAGACATTCAAAAACTCTCACACTGGAGGGGTTTTTCGGTAAAGAGCATTTGGTGCTTAAGTTAGCACAGTGAAGAAGATGATGTGTTATATGTATGTAGAGAATATAAAGAATGTAATATAACAATATGGATACCTCACTCCCTTATATAGGGAGATGATACCTTGTTGCCCATGACTTCTCGAGTGCACTGCCCATTCGCACTGTCCGATCTGTACGAACTGTCCAATTCTGCTAGGTCACGTGGCCCTATCCACGTATGGTTCTTATCCTATTAATATTTCTTCTTATCCACTAGTCTTTCTTATTAAACCGCCTAATCATATGACCAGCTCGAGTTCTGTCGAGGTAGAATGTTGCGCGTACCAAGCCTACACGTTGTCCTTCTGGTCGATCATTCGGCCAACCATACCTTCAAGTTTCCATCATGTCATCCGAGGGCCCTAACTCGACCTGTCATTGCCCCTTCAAACCTCTCACGTCTTCTCTTCCGTTCGACCTTCCCGCGACTTTGTTCTACCAATCGGTTCGCTCGCTTAGTCAACCGGTTTGTTGGGTTTACTCTACCCGGCGTTATATCCCATATCAAAATAACACCTTACAAAAATATCGGGATCAATGAAACAAAAAAATGAAGATTATCAAGACCTTTTAAGTAAAATCAACAAGCATGCTTTTAAAAATTATCCTGATAAATTTTTTATTAATTTCAATCCTTTTTAAGTAAAATCAACAAGCATGCTTTTAACAACTATCCAGATAATTTTTGTTATTAATTTCAATACTGATGAATATTCTTCCTCACAAAATGTCAAACTTATTTGACTTTTAAGTTTTAACATGAAAATGTACATCCATGCGGATTCCGTTTTAGGATTATCAACTTATTTGACTTCTAATGAGGCAGTTTAAAAAGCATATGAAATAAATTTTTTAAAAAAATTGTATCCCTGTTTTTATATGGAGAATTTCACCAGGGTTTGAATTTGGAAAAATTTTCATGCTAGACCTAGATTTAGATAATTGTGTAAGATTAAGATCCAAATTTTGCAAGTCCTGATCTAGGGGCTTAATTTTCAATAGTTTCTCACGGTGAGTCTTGAATTTTTTAAAATACTTCTCAAAATATGTTTATATGGGATAGACTATAAAAAAATTGTTATATTCCAACAGAAAATCTTATGGGAATATATTCTAATGGAAATTCCAACATATATTCCAAATGTATAGCTTCAGTTGGAATGATCCAACGAAAATTCCAATGAAAATATTCCTATTGAATATGTTTTTCATTGAAATTTTAGATGGAATTTGATTATTCCAACGGCTTTTTACCGTAAAAATTTCCGTTGAAATATGCAATTTTTGTTGGAATTTTTATTTCTACCCCCGTTGGAAAATCTATCGTTGGAATCGTCAAACTTCAACGGAAATTGCAATGAAAAGCTCATTCCAACGGAATATTTTTGTTGGAGTTTCCGTTGGATTTCATTGGAAAATTCCAACGAAAATAATAGTATTGAAAAATGTCCATTGGAATTGTTGTTGAAATTCTATTTAAATATATTTTTGTTTGAATTTTATCATTTTCTTGTAATGATGAGAAAAAAAATAGCTATGCTAACTTCCAAGTTAAAATTTGACAGTCTTTTATATTCTTTCTTTTTCAAAATTCATCCATTATGATTTAATTATGTAATGGTCAATATTAAACATGAGTTTTATAAACAAAATGAAATTACGATATTGGGAGCTAGCGTAGTTGTTCGTTTTTCCATCCCATTAAAACGTACTCTAATAAGTAATAAGTAATAAGTAATAACTATTTCGATCCTAATTCATACCATAAGGAAAGTATTTAGATATGTCTTATATCCCCCTGTATATTAATTCAAAACGTGCTGAGTCTAAGTGGCAAGCTGACATACTTCGAGATCCTATGTGACAAAATTACATACTTCGTTAGAGCATCTCTAATGCATTCTTTTGAAAGAATAAAAAGTTATCCACCTCATCTAGATAGAAAGTGTGTAAATAATTTATCCTCCAATGCATTAGATTATGGGTCTTTTCATGCTTATGTGTAATAAATTAATGTTAACATTGTGAAGCTCACTTTCTAATTTCTCACATTCTTTCTAACATGATGACTCAGCATTTTGATAATTATTTGACACAAATTTTGAGTTTTTCATAAACTTGGAAAAATTTCACCCTTACATTTATCCAAGAAAACATTTGAGAATTTATTTGAATACAGTATAATTATTTGATGAGTTACAACTAAAATTTAAAAAAGTTATCAATAATAATGTCCTGAAAAGTAAAATATTATGTTCATGATATTTGTTTGTTGAATTATTGCAATTTTAATATTTTGTTGTTTTATTTTGAACCGATTAAAAAAATATTTATTGTGTGGTTATACATATTGTAACTGAGAAATTATTGAATAAATATAATTTTATAAATTTGATGATATAAATAAAAATTAATTGAATTAACAAAAAATAACATCATGCATATACTTATTGAAATTTGTGGTTTTTTTTTAATATACTCTTTGATTTTATTAATAATTGAATAAATCTACATATACAAATTATATGGTTGTTGAATGGATGCATTGGAGGCAACATTTCAAATGAAAGTCCTATTCTTTTAACATTAAGTTCATGTAGATTAAACATTAATCCATTAATTGACATGTGTTCAAATTTAATTAATGTTGAAAGTTGAGCATTGGAGATGCTCTTATTAGGCTTGGGTAGATTTTAGTTTACATACAATTCAATATTAATTATGTTAAGATATCCATAAATATGTTGATAACTTTTATATTTTTTAAAAGTTAATAACTTTTTTTTTTTTATCAGTTTTACATATATAATATATCAAATTAATCATCTTTTAATGAACTTCGATTTAACATCCATATTGTATGCACACAAAAATAAATAAATTATATTTATCTTTATAACAATAATAAAATTTTCTTAATATTAATTATAAAAATAAAATTATTTATCAGTTAACATATTTATATTTCAAGTAGTTATATGATATAAGTTATAAAAATTACTATAATATAACATATTTAAGTTGCACAAATAACAAGTGTCATTCTAAAATATATAATAGTATATATTTTTTGTAAAAAAGTAAATAAAATTTAAAATAATTTTTCTCATTAATTTTAAAATTTAAGAATAATTTTTTAACAAGTACCCGTGTAATACATGGGTATTGTACTAGTTCTTCTTAATATTGTTTTCAAATTTCTTTTTGCTAATTTTTTCTTTACCATACATGGTGATCATTTTTATTTTAATATAATTTGATCTAAACCTATTAATTAAACTGACCAAAATTCTTCAAAACATTCTACTAAACATTTATTCATTGAAACACCATTCCACATTCATTCACACATTCAAATATAAATAAAAATGGACCCACCGCAAATTGTCCTTTCTCATTTCACCGAGATTAAATGAATTAAAATCATGGATCCCACCATTATCACCAATCAAATGAATAGTTGTATTGGTTTAAATAGTGCCATTTAAGTTGATGTTGAATGAAGAAATAGTGAAATACAGATGCTCGAGGAGAAGTGGAGTCCATGACGGAAATCCACCTTTATTGGGCTGAGCTTGACCTTTGAAAGTATTAGCGTGAAGCCTAGAACTCAAGCCCAGCATAACCCAACATTCTCTTCTAAGTTTTATTGGGCTTCGTTCAGGTTAGGTAAATAAGCCGCTAAAATTATAGATAATCGAAACTTATATAATCAAGAACCGAACATGAATTAAAGACACCCTACACCTTTTAATAAATTTTCCCTCAAGAACATCAGATTAATTAACCTGGCCCAGCACTGTAGTTATATATACAGTTACACACTAAAACCCTTGCTTCCATGGACAACAAATGCTTTCTTTAAATTAACATCTATACCATGTCAAATCTCACAACATAATAACTTATATTCAATACGAACAACATAAATACATAATAATATGAACAAGATCACTCAAAATGGCTCTCGTATTGGTCGTCCTTACAAAGTAATTACACACAACACCACCCCAAGATTAAAAAAAAATGTCTCAATCAATTTAATCAACCAATCAATCAATCCCTCAATCAATTTTGCATGAGAACTGCTAGGCAGTTGTCCACCTGGAGGCTGAGGTGGCGCGCGAACTTATTTAGCGGGAACTCGGCTCCGAACTCCTTCATCGCATCCTTGCAGTCGGACCGCAGGGCCCCACTCAGGTGGGACCGTGCAGTCCCGACATCATTGGCAGCTAGGGCCTCGATGCTCACCGCCAAGTCATCGGCTATCCCTTCGAAATCCTCTGCACACGTGGCGAGTATCGACTCCTGCGTGGCGGGGGACAGGCCCGCGACTGCGGGCCTCAAGAGAGGCACGAGGGCCCGCACTCGTCGGGCAAGGTCCAGAGCCGACTGCATGGCATTGACCGATGCATCGGTTTGCGTGGATGCACCGTTGACCATTCGGGTGCAGATGCGTCGGTAGTTGGACGTGCGGCAAAATGGGTTCACGCCAGCGAATCGGGCCTCGGTCCGTGGAATTTGGGTCGGGCCCACGAGGAGGAGGAGGGTGGTGGTTAAGTAGAGATAGTTGAACTTATTTGGAGCCATTTATGTATTTTATTTTAATTTTTTGGTTGATTTTGTGTGGCTCTTTCTTTGCAATGAGTTTTTGTATCTCTACTTGTTATTTTGTGTTCCCCTCTTTGTGTGTGTTGTATTGTTTTGTTTTTGGTGTTTGGAGTCACGATGAGAGGGGAAGAATTGAAAGCAAAATGTGGAAATGGGAACTTTTTTTTTTCTTTTTATTCTCTCTATCAAATTTAGATGTTTGGTTTTTGGAATTTTATGTGAGTAGGGAGAATTTTTTATGGTGTATTTAATTTCCTATTTTTTCGCATGAGATTTTGTGGTTTTGCTATTGTTGTGGAGATGTTTCTTGATGAGAGTCGCTCAAATAATTTTTGTCAGTAGATAAATTTACTAATAAACTTGACGTTGACCGGAGTGGTGAACCAAATAGGCAAACATTGACCAAGATATGTGATGTGAAATTATCTGATGGACACGTCATTGGCCTTTTTCTTTTGTAGCACGTTTGATAATAATAAGTAAACTCATTAGCGTATGAAATGGTCTATCTATTAAAAGGTACTCCTTATATTTTTATACTAGTACAGAGCCCGTGCGATGCACGGGATGCACAATTTTAAGGTTATTTATCGAGGCTTATAATTATATACATGAATAAAGAAAAATGTACGGGATATATATAGTACGTGACCCGTGCGAAACACGAGATATATTTATTTAGAGAATATTATATTATAAGATGCAATATTTAATAAAAGTTTATAATACGCAAGAAAATTATATAATGTTCGATAAAAGTTTTATAATATTCAAGCGGAGTCTTAAAGTCTCTTGTACATTAAGACTACGGACAAAATAATATTTTAATCAATGAGTTTCCTTTCCTTGTAGCCAAATTGTGGATGTGATTTGAGGAGTACAACAAATCGATATATAGCTGACTTGCTTTTTTAATTGTAGTTCTTTTTCTTTTTTTTTTTATAATGAACTTAAAGATATTCTAAAATATAGCAAAAATTAATTTTTTTTATTACAATTAGGAATTTTACTAAATATAAACTCTCAATCTATGGTGTTAATCAACGTGTAAGTCTAAAAAATTAGGAACTTTTACCTCTTTTAATCAACGTTTAAGTCTAAAAAATAATAGAGTTATTATAAATTTTTTTTCTACATCTTTTAAAACATTAAATATGAGCATTTTAGGGCTAGCTTGTAAAATAATTAATATATTATCTTACTAAAACATTTATACTAATAAAAATTTAATTTTAGCATATAAATTTATCCCTTGCTATAAGAGAAAGTAACAGTTTTAGTTATTGTTGTTCACCATATAATATTTAATTATTTTCTTATTATATAATAAAAAAATATTGTTAAAAGTGTAGTAGAATTGTTATAAAATTATATATATTTTTTTTTTACAATATGGATTTAATATTTTTTTATGATTTGATAATATAAACAAATCTATACTTAACTTTTACAAATAAAACAAATAAATACTTTAGTAAGTATTTAATGTATATACTAAATAGGAATATATTTGGTATAATCAAATACCAAATATAATCAAATAAGTCAAAGTGTATATTTTTATTTGGTATTTGATTTTTTTATTATTAAAATTTTTTTATTATACTTACCTTTTTAAAATAAAATAAATAAATAAATCAATTAAATAAATAAAATATTATAATACCAAAATAGTAATGGCATTTAATGCAGTTGACTTCTCTGGATAGTAAATGTAGTAAATAGAATCTTCTTTTATATAAGTATAGATTGTATAATACGAAAATAGTAATGCCATAAATGTTGTTGACTTTTCTTTATAATAAATCTGGTAAATGGTATACCTTTTAATATAAGTATAGATAATAAAAATGTTAATTTATAATATGAAATTTCATACTCATGTACACGTTACTTTTAATGGTATGATATTCAATTTGAATTACGCATATCTATTTAAAAAAATATGATTGTTCAATTATTAGTTTTGATTGCGAAAATAGACTAATATGTTTGATAGTTAATTATATATTTTTTGTTTAAAAGGTGATGAAACGACCCGACTAAAACAATGAATTGACTTTTTGCTTATCCACAAATTATGTGGCAGAGGTTACATGGCAACGGAATACATCCGACGTGGCAACCTGACATGTACAGTTTCAAAGTTCTTGTTATGGAAGTCATATGTGGCACTAAGAACAACGATTTTGATCAGAGTTCACATTCAATCCAGGTAATAAACAAAACTGCCATTTACCCTAATTATAAAATTAATCAACTAATTAATTCATATCCATTATAGTTTGGAGGCTTCAAAATTTCGTACACACCGACCTAGTAAGCTCTGCTTGTATAAAGGGTCGAATTCATCTCAAACGAGCTAGTCAAACTTGATTTTGATTAGATAATGCGTTGACTCAACTCATCAAGGCTCATTTGACTAAAAAATATGGATATTTTTGTAATTTTTTAAACTGTTAGCTTAGTTCGGTGTGTCAAGGCTCTAGTCACCTGATACTCAGTAATATTATATATTAAATGAGTTGAACTCAAGCTTGCTTATTTAAAAGGATCTAACTTAGCTCGACTCGGTAAAAGCTCGAGTATTAGAAGTTCAAACTGAACTCGACTCTTATCGTATAACATTTGAACTTTGAACACTCATTTCATACGTAGGTTTGGAGCCTTCACGGGTTGGGGAAATAATAATAATAATAATAATAATGATAATAGTCAAGCTGGAAGTTGCTCGGGTTCATCTGGAAATGAAATTACATAGAGCTTCTTACAACCAAGATAGAAAAAAATTGATCTGAATGTGAAAAAATTGGACATTTGATTTTTTTGTAGAAAATGTGTAAAAGCTGGAAATTGATTGGGAATATCCATATATACGAGTGTGTGCGTGTGTATTTATTTATGTAAATACATTTATACATATAAATGTATAAATGTATTGATTTTTTGTTGAAGGGTTTAGGCATTTAAAATTAGAAAAAAAAACGCATTTATACATGTCTAAGATTCTGATTCATTAATGACACTACCTAGTTTTTTACCTTGGTGACAAAATTGAAGAGAAAAGTGAGATCCCATCGGAATAAAGTACTTTTCGAGTAGAAATTGCAATGAACGAAATCGGTAGTTTCATATCCGAAGGCAACTTTTCTAGTAGCGTAGTTTCAGATTTGGAGATAACTTTTCGAGTAGAGATGGTATAGAATGGACAAGGTCGGTACAATATTTTTTTAGTAGAGATTGTAATATGAAAAATTTTATTTTGACAAAAAGTTCCTATTAAGGTTCGAGAAAGGAGATAGATCGACAGAAAAGAAGAGAGGGAAATTGTGTATTTAGAGAAAACCAAAAAATGAATTGTTAGGTTTACAATGTGAAGGCTAATAGCTTTTTATACTAACACTTATAAGGGAAAGTGTTATATGCTAAAACAACAACATTGGTAATATGAAACATAACTACAAGTATTGTGTAAATTACATAAAAGGACTTATACATATTCTAATACCCCCCGCAAGTTCAACATGGATGTTTTTCATGTTGAGCTTGGATGTGAGATGATGAAATATCTGGTTGGAGACAGCCTTTGTAAACAAATCTGCCACTTGATCCTTGCTTGGAACATGATGGAGTTTGATGATGCCAGCTGCAATCTTCTCTCTAATGAGGTGACAATCAAGTTGAATATGCTTTGTTCTTTCATGGAAAATAGGATTATTTGCAATGGCCATAGCTGAAATACTATCTGAAAATATGATGACAGGAGAGGTGTGAGGCAAATTCAGATCAGATAACAGATATAAAAGCCATTGAATCTCACAAGATGTGCTAGCTAAAGCCCTATATTCTGCTTCAGCACTGGATCTACTCACTGTATTTTGTTTCTTTGATTTCCAAGAAACTAAAGAATTCCCTAAATAAACTGAATAACCTGTAATACTTTTCCTTGTATCCAAACAGCTAGCCCAATCACTGTCACTATATGCTGTTAACTGTAAAGAAGAGTTTCTGGGGAAAAACATACCTTTCCCAACTATAGCTTTGACATACCTTAAAACTCTGTGAGCAGCAGCAAGGTGTTGTGAATTTGGTTGTGACATAAATTGACTAAGTGCTTGGACACTGTAACTTAAATCAGGTCTGGATATTGTTAAATATAGAAGTCTACCAACAAGTCTTCTATATTCAGTAGGATCAGTCAAAATAGGAGCATCACAATGAGCAGATAATTTTAAAGAGGGACTCATGGGAGTAGATGCAGGTTTACATGCAAGAAATCCAGTGTCATGAAGAATGTCTAATGCATACTTCCTCTGACACATATTTATACCTTCATTGGAATGAGCAAACTCTAATCCCAAAATATATTTCAGAGTGCCAAGATCCTTTATGGTGAAACACACATGTAAATGGCTTTTTATTTTTGTAATTTCAGTAATGCTGTTTCCACAAAAGATTATATCATCAACATATACTAGTAAGGCCAAAAATAAAGAATTTGTTGATAAAGTAAATAAGGAACAGTCAGATATTGATTGTTTAAAGCCATAATCTAGTAAACAAGTTGTCAATTTCTGAAACCATTGTCTAAATGCCTGTTTAAGGCCATATAAACTTTTGGTTAGTTTGCAAACTGAATTTTTAGAAGATGTAGAAGGTATAGAATATCCAGGAGGTAATTTCATATATACTTCTTCATCTAAATCTCCATGAAGAAATGCATTATTAACATCTAATTGATGAATATGCCATGATTTAATGGATGCAAGAGCAATTAAGAATCTTACAGTGGTGATTTTTGCAACAGGGGAAAAGGTTTCAAAATAATCTATGCCTTCTTCTTGAGTATATCCTTTGGCTACTAGTCTAGCTTTGTATCTCTCAATGGATCCATCAGACTTGTATTTTATTTTGAAACCCATTTGCATCCTATACAATGTTTTCCACTAGGTAAAGTTGTCAATTTCCATGTGTTTGTTTGTTCTAGTGCATCTAGTTCTTTTTGCATGGCTGCCACCCATAAAGGGTCTTTGGCAGCCTCTGAATAAGTTTTTGGTTCTTTATGAACAGATATAGATGCAGTAAAACAGGCATGATCTTTAGACAATTGTTTAGTGGATAAAAAAGATGAAATAGGATGTTTTATAAATGTCTCAAGAATGCTGATGGATGTGTTTGAGGAATGTGTTTGACTGGAGGATAAATTTGGAAGTTTATGGTTGTATACATTGAGATAAGAAGGAGGTCTTATTGTTCTGGTTGATTGTCTCCTGGGTGGTGTAGGATTTTGAACTGGGACAGGTGAATTGGCTTGATTCTGATTGTGGCTGGGGTTTGTTGTGGGACTGGAATGAGGAACCAATGTAGTCTGATTTATGGTTTGTTGGTTGTGAGAAGGTAAATTGTGAACCAAATCATTTTCAATAAATGGAGGTGGTGAGGGAAATAATGTTTCTTGTGAAGGTGTAGAAACAGGGTTTTTGAAAGGGTACACATCCTCATAAAATTGCACATCTCTTGAGATTATTATTTTCTTAGTATCAAGATTATAAAGTTTGTAACCTTTATAACCTATAGGATACCCAAGAAGAATGCACTTAGATGCTCTTTTGTCAAATTTGGATCTGTTAACATTGAGAGTAGAAGCATAGCAAAGACAGCCAATCACTCTTAAGTGATCATAAGTAGGTTTCTTTTTGTAAAGCATTTCAAAAGGGGTTTAGTTTTGTAAAACAGGTGTAGGAACCCTATTGATCAAATGAGTAGCAGCTAGGACACAATCTTTCCAAAAACATATGGCCAGATGAGCATGAAATAAAATTGCCCTTGCTACTTGTAACAAATGTTGATGTTTTCTTTCCACCCTACTATTTTGTTGGGGTGCTTCAACACAACTAGTTTGATGGATTATTCTATTGGTTGTGTAGAAATCTTTGAAAAAGAATTCTGTACCATTGTAAGTCCTTATTATTTTTATCTTCTTGTCAAATTGGGTTAAAGCCATATTGTAGAAATGTAATAAGGACTGTTTGGTATCAGATTTGAGTTTTAGTGGATATATCCAAGTAACTCGGGTGAAATCATCAACAATAGTGAGAAAGTATTTGTAACCATCATGAGATGCAAATGAAAATGGGCCCCATACATCACAATGAACTAAGTCAAATGGATCACATGCAATAGAACTGCTATTAGAAAAAGGTAATCTTCTTTGTCTGGCAAAGTGACACACATCACAAGGAACAGAAGACATAGTTGTGCAACTTTCAGAAATAATATTCAATTGCTGCAGTTTAGAATAGGATAAATGTCCTAATCTGTGATGCCATGTGACAGAGTTTGTAGTACTTGATGTAGCAGTAACAGGTAAAGGGAAATTTACATGTAAATTCTCAACAATTACATGTTTTGAACTATTTTCAGGAGCAAAAGACAAGTGGTAAAGACCATCTTTCAAGTCTGCAGAACCAATCATTCTGTTGTTGGTTAGATCCTGTAAAATGCAACAAGATGATGCAAAATTGACCATGCATTTGTTTGAGGATACCAACTTGGATACAGAAACAAGATTAAATTTAAATTCAGGCACATAAAGAGCATCATAAAGAATAACAGAATTGGTAAGTTTAATGGTGCATTTATATGTGGCCTGTGTTTTGTTACCATTTGGTAAGTTAATCTGAATGTTAACAAGATCAGGTTGAATACTATAAAATGACAAATCACAGATCATGTGGTCAGTAGCACCAGTGTCTAGTATCCAACTATCTTTGCAAAGAATTTTAGATGCATTACATATTAGAGGAGCAGGAATACCTGATGCATCAGATACAACAGTGGATACAATAGGATTAGAAGATGGTCCTTGGCCACTATTCTTTGCATCCTGAGATCTTTTAAACTCTATAAACTCATGAAGCAGATCATTAGTAAAGGGATATGATGGTGCATTGTTATCAACAGTTTCAGTGTGAATCAAGTTGGCTGAATGAGAGTTGGTTGGTTTGTGAAATTTTGATCCAGGCCAATTAGGGGGATATCCAATCAGTTGGTAACATTTATCTGAGGTATGACCATTATAGCCACAATGGGAACATTTCACGTTCTTTTTGTCTTTGGTGTATGGTCATTGTGGTTTAGACTGTGGTTGATTGGTTTTGGCAAGCATAACAATGGATTCAGAGGGATTGGATATATTGGACAGAGATCTCTGAGATTCTTCTTGAAGCAAGAGAGAGTAAACTTTGGATAAAGAGGGCAAAGGATTGGACAATAGGAAGTGGCTTCTCAAGGGTGCAAAGGTATCATTCAAGCCAACCAGAAACTTCATCACAGAATCATGGTGTTGTGCCACAGTCATTGCATCAAAAATATTACAGGTACAGGCATTAAAAGCACCACATGTACAACGAAATATAGGCCTATACATGACATACTCATCCCACAGTGATTTAAAAACATTGTAATACTGTGTTACAGACATGGCACCCTGATCAATCGTGCTAAGAGCTTTCTCTAATTGAAAAACCCTAGGTCCACTACTCAATGCATATCGAGTTTTCAACTCATCCCAAACAGCTTTCGCCGAAGTAAAAAACAACAAGGATTGGCGAATCTCTTTACAGATGGAATTTAAAAGCCAAGAGAGGACCAGATTATTTGCACGCAACCAACAAGAGTAAAGAGTAGGGTTACCAGTCGAGGATGGAGTAGACACTGTACCGTCGATGAAACCGCCTTTGTTTTTCACGCTCAACGCCATGGCGACGGCGCGGGACCACGAGACGTAATTCTCGCCGTTGAATAACTCAGCCACGATGAGAGCGCCGAGGTTGTCGCTGGCGTGCAAGTAGTAAGCAGAGGAAGGATCATCAGACGGATTTGGATTCGTTGCCATAGTGGTGAAGACAAGGTAAATCGAAGATCAAAGGGAAAACAGCGGAAGAGGATCGAAAAATTAGGCGATCTGAACGCCGGCGATTGATACCATATTAAGGTTCGAGAAAGGAGATAGATCGACAGAAAAGAAGAGAGGAAAATTGTGTATTTAGAGAAAACCAAAAAATGAATTGTTAGGTTTACAATGTGAAGGCTAATAGCCTTTTATACTAACACTTATAAGGGAAAGTGTTATATGCTAAAACAACAACATTGGTAATATAAAACACAACTACAAGTATTGTGTAAATTACATAAAAGAACTTATACATATTCTAATAGTTCCGAAAATGATATTTTGATGTTCTATGCAAACAAGGAAATAAAAAGGGAATATCTACATTTTCTATCACTTTTTTGTTAGTTTAGATTGTATTCTATTTGTTTTGGCAAGCTTTTTATGTAAGTGTTGTTTCTGTAATGTTTGTTATATTTTGTAGGCGATCATGCATTCGAAGGAAGAGGAAGCTAATCGAGGCTCAATGAAAAAGAAGATCTCAACTTCTATTTATGAAGATCTCGTCCTTAGTTGGAAATTTAAAAAAGAACGAAATTCGCTTTAAAAGGAATAAAATTTGAAGACTCCTTATATATATTGAATTGAGGATTTTGTCCATTACAATTGATAAAAATGATGGTAAAATAATCAACCTAGGCCTAGGGTATGTCAAACTCTACTTCAGAGGATAGTCTTTAGACTTATAAGAACCAAGTAGTTTTTGATTAAATGTATCAATCGTTGAAACTGCAATAGAAAATGAATAAATTTAATTAACAAAACAAATTATATTAAGTTCGTTCATATATAATATTGTATATGTTGGTTAATATAGCCAACCAACGAACAACATATAATTAATTGTTGGCTTTGTATTGGAACAAGTGGGTGATTAATTATCATGATTAAATAAATTAATTATGGAATCTCATTATATATATTTATATATTAAATTAGGGTTTTCTTGCTCAAGTGCCATCTATCTACCCCTCTAATGTTGTTGCAGCTAAAGAAAATACTTGGTGAATTTCTTGACGTGGTCAACATAGTATTTGTACATATGAAATCCAACTTGATCCAATGCTACAATTTGATATTCTATTTAGTATTTCTATTCTATTAGATGAACAAGAAAATAGTGTTGTAATCGAACCGAACGTGTCAATCTTAATTCTTAAGCATTTTGAGCTTATGTTCGAACACATCGTATTCATGCATTTATTTTTCGAGTAAAATTCTATTTGAGCTCATTTGTTAAATCAAATTGTTTTATTGCCTCGAAATTTGTTCGTTCAAACTCAAAATTAAAAAAAAATCCAAAAAAAATATTTTCATATTTTAGATCTTTATTTTTTTAATTAAAAGTATCGTACATATAAATATATAAACAAAATAAAAAAATATATCAATAAATTAATGTTCTCAAACATTATTACTGAACGTTCGCGGATGAGTTCGTGTGCGTTCGACGAGCTTAATTTTCATTCGAACTTCACTAGATCAACAAAACGAATGAGATCGTTGAAGGCAAACGAACTTCTATTTGCGAGCATTCGATTCGTTAACAACTCAATCAACACATGTATAAATACGATGATATACCAAATATAATAAAATGCAAAAAATCAATATAAAAGTGGAATAGAATATCTCATTTAGTAAATTCA